AGAGAGAGAGAGAGAGAGAGAGAGAGAGAGAGAGAGAGAGAGAGAGAGAGATTTTTCTCTAATGCTCCCGATGGGGAACGATTGAATGACTGAAATTTTAACGAGACCGGTGACGGACGGCACGCAAGCAAAGTAAGAATTCGATTGGAGGTGTCCACGTGTTGCCGATTTCTTTTAATTCGAGGATTTCTTGCAGAGATATCTCGATAGCGGGTTAGATTATCGGTGAGCGCGCTATCACTTTGCAAGGCGGTGACTCGAAAGAGAGACGCGGGCGGGGAGGGGCGGCTCGTCTAACTGTTTTCCACTTTTACACGGTTACACACAAAACTGTTTTGTATCTCTCTCTATCTGTACATATAGTTTCGCAGGAGACAATGCATGTATCGTCAATTATCAAAACGTGCGTTCATAATTTATCTCCACTGTACCTCCACTTACGAAGGGGCTCTGCAAAAAATATGTAAATTCAAAGGGGTCGGGAGAAATTGCGTTGTGTGTGAGAAATGGAATTAACGACTCGCCGTCGCGGAATGCTTTCCCGTCCTTTTAACTCGCCTATTTTTTGCAGCGAAAGTATAAAGTAGCTTACGAGTGCACTTACGAGACGATCGGGCTCGTCGTAACGTGAAGATCGATAGTATGCTGGATAAGGATAGGATTCTTACTCAGTTGCGGGCACGTGTGATATCGTACTATCTAAAAGTATCGAGGCAATTGCTGCGCAAGGCGATCTCAATGTTCACCGCTGTCTACTCTCAATAAAGTGGCTGTCATTCAATGAGAATTTTGAGTTTCGTCATTAGCGACATTCATAGAGAATATCCCGATCAGACGTTGAACTTTCTCTCGTCCGTCCCTCGGGACCGTTCTGACGTGATCACGTTGCCTCCGACACCTCCTTCAATTGATAAGTAAAGAGGAATTCGAAAGCGTCGCGGAGACAACACTGAGATGTATCGAATTGAGATCTCTCTCCGGTTTTCTCGCTGCAGCTATATCGAATTATAACGTCAGAAGCGAGAAGCTATGCGAGCTTCCTTCTTATTTTATACGTCGAAGTAAATTCGTTTTGCCTCGCGTATCATCATTCGCATTATTCGATGATATAGATTGGTAAAATCGAGAACGAGAACTTTCATCCTTTTTTTTTTCTTTCGTGGCTGAATAAATAGCTGTAAATCTCGATCGATTATAGTAAAATCCATTTTTACTGAAGTCACGGTGTGTAGAAGAGACCAGGACTGGCTCCAGGGGTATGTTGCTCATGTATTTTTTTATCTTGAGAGGAATAGTGGGTACAAAATTGTGAAATGATCCTTTTGGAACATAAATATTTTTCTCTGAGTCTCATTAAAATCGGAATAATATTACAATTAAGAAATAGAAAAAATTGATTTAGTAATAGCAAAGTAAATTTTCGAATTTTTCCAAATTTTCTATCAATATTCTTCATCGTGACTGAATAAAATTAAGCGATGTGTTACTAGCTAGAATGAAATTTCTTGCAAATGTATGATATACTGTTTTTGATAATAAATGCAATTTTCATTCATAAAATAATTGAGTGGGCGGACGAGGTAAAGTTGGCCCGTAATTAAAAGCCGGCAAGGGGGCTGTGGAGGCCTCTCGCGGAGACTTTGAAACTACTAATCAGAATACATATTTTATACGTGGCCTTCTTATCCTGCGCTACTGGGCAACTTATCCCGCTACTAGGTCAAGATAGCTATGTGGTTGTATACTCGTATTTTGGTTATTACAAAACAAAATATACGGTTAACAGGGTCGTGGCGGACATTAATACATAGAAAAAGGTTGCCATATTTATACAGTCGGTCATAACAACTAGTTGTCTAAGAAGTTGCAACTTTGAAGCTCTAAAATATAGGGTATCTAATCCCGGTCTCCCCTATATCGAGTTATACTTTTATTTATTTTAATTTATTAACTCTCTAATGTATGTATGTGCGTATGTGTGACAAGATGAACTTTCAGAATGTATCCAGGAAGATAGGCTCGGATTCGACGCGATGCTCCGTTTTGATCATTTTTCATCTCAATCAACGTACAAAACTTCTTCCTATGTTTATTTATAGAAGAAAAAATGTAATAAAGTATACTAACTGACAAAAAACGCTTTGACCATTGGTTACACCCGGTTCCGACCTTATTGCTAAAAGGTTAATATGAAATGATAAGAAGAATTTTTTCGCTTCTGACGTCGTAGTTCATTATAGCTACAATTAGTGGAAGCGACCTCAAGTGAATATGATCCTTCTTAATCCACTATAGTAATTAACGATGCGAGAGACGTGTGAAGGTTGACACGGATAATTTGCTTTGATTGGCGGCAGCAGCTTTACGCATGATTTATTATAATGTGTAATAATATGGTTTAAGCACAGTTTTTTAAATTTTAATTCAAACACCCCTGTGAAAGTCGATAAAAGGCGTTTTCCCCCGCAAACTTCTTACGGCATATCTAATACACACACACGTAGAGAAGAGAACATCCCTCTCACGTTAGACTAACATTAACGGCAGGACGTGACTCCGTTAGGTACTTTCGGAATTGAAGGGTTGAGAATCAGAAGAGCGGTTTATCGACTATCAAATCGCTCCCGCTGGTTGGTAGACCGCTCGGATGTGGTTACGCGGGAGGCAAGCAACCGTTAATGGAAAACGAAATCAAGCCGGTATTCGCGCCCTTGAATATGAAGAGCACACGCGAACGATATTCTGACTCGCATTTTTGTCCTATTTTGACGTAATTTCAGTGCTGACGTATACTGAAGGTGACTGAAAGCACGCAAGCTACGTCCAACCGAATTTACTCTATCGATCGCTTCGAGATTATACCCGAGTCGAAATTTTCTCAATCAACGTACCACAATAACCCTGCAAATCCCATCGAACTTGAAGGATCATTAGCGAATCTTGAGATGCAACACCAGAGAGGATATTACCTTACCTTGATGTTACGAATAATTATTTACTGCAAGTAGTGTAAATTGAGGCACAAAGAAGTACTTATTTCTCAGCATTACTTAACGTATTCCATTATATTCTATCTGCATTCTTAATCTTTATTCTTAATTTCAGTAAACAGATATTAAATAATGTGGGCAGAAATAAGATTAATGATTGGAAAAAATTTCTTGACTCGTGGTCCTTTCATTATTCTTGTGATTGGTGTTAGAAATTTCGATAGGATTTGAAGATTCAAAAGATGTGAAAAAAAAAAATACATATATATCTTGTAAAGACAGAACTCATAATTGTGTATCTAATAATGCTGTGTATTAATGGAAATTCAAATACAAATTTATTACAATGACAAAATTAAATATTAAGTAAAAAGAGGACATTGGCAAATAAAGTATAATAAATATAAATAATTACAAAAGAGATAAAATTTGTGCTGTGACATTATGTGGTAGTGAGTGTTATTACAGACACACAAAGAAATAAGCACTTCTGAAATTTATACTAAATTTCAATATCAATATTCATGCTTATAAATTATTTTGACTTACAATTATTGTGGTTCAAAACATAATAAATTATAAATTATTTTGACTCATAATGGTTGAAAGCACATATAATCAATTATAAATTGCTTTTAGGATTAATGCTTCCTATTGAAATATGAAATACGATGAAATTAAATGATATAAATACAGTTTATCTGTTTGTTAACAAACAGATATTTATGATGTAATATATAATTATTTGTCAAATAATAACAGATTATGAATGTTGGCCTAAATTTCGACTTGGGTATTTTCTTGTGTATTTCGAGTTGGGTATCTTCTTATTTTTCGGTAAGTTTGTCAAACATCTGTTAAAATTGGAAAGTTCCTGTGTATAATAAATGACTTGACATACCTGAGATATATGATGTACAACTGTGTGCGTCCTGGTATCCTGTATCCTCCGTCCTGCATCCTGGCTGCTCCGTTGTGACACTCCGTACATTCACTTGTAACACTGACACTCGCGTAGATACGATTTCATGGCCGGAAAAAAACACTCGTTAATTAACGCAGCGCGCTCGGAGAACCCAGTTAATTATTTCAAAAAATCCGACGGAATATTTTAATTGCTCGGCAGAAATGATAACTAACGCAACGCGATACATATACTCCGTAAGATACGGCGTCTCGAGATACAATGGAAACACCAGGAAAAGTATACGTCGTATGAAGGTAAGTTTAACCGCCCTGAGGGTCGGAATGTTTTGAAAGTGTCGATTGTGATGATTTCTTTGTATAAGATAACGTCGCCTGATGTGGCGATGACGTAGTCTTTTTTGTCCAATGTTTCGATAGTCTCGCGCATCACGTATGTTTTTGTGACCAAGTCATTAAGTTTCAAGCTTACGTGCGACGAACATATTGCGATACGGAGTGTATACGTATACGTGTATCAATGCGTTAGTTATTATTTTCGATTTTCCTACAATACTTAATCGGACTCTCGTTGATGTGGCGTTAATTGGCATACGTTTTTTCGATCAAATCGCACCTGCGCGAGTGATAAGGCTCGTCCACGATATGCGGAGTAAACTTGGCGTAAAAAATAGAAGTGATCTATTCCGCTTATGCCACTATACTGTAACTTCCTTACATAGGGAGTATTTCTCTTGAAAGAAACACTTTCGGTGTAAGGAGGCTAAAGTACAGGTCGTAAGCAAAATAAATTATTTTTACCTCTTACTCTCTCTAATTTACGCCAAGTTTAGTCCGCATATTGTAGACGAGCTTGTGGTGTCATGAGTGAATATTGAGAGTGTCTATGGAGCATGTCGATGGAACAGCCGGGAGCAAGACATTGGATCCGGAAGCCAGGACGAAGATGGCGGAGCGCTGGTGAAGATACATAATATATTTCTAGATGTGTTAAATAATTTTATTGTACGTAATAATAATAATATTTCATTTATTATATTTTCTACTTTAATAAGCGTTTGACAAATTACTGAGAATAAGGAAATACTCGAGTCGAAATTTAGGCTGGCATATACAACCTGTTATTATTTGACAAATAATAATTGTTCTATAAATCTCTGATTGTTTATCCACCTATACATGTATTTGTTTCGTACAAAAAGATACTTTTCTCTCTTTAATTCTTTTGAATATTATAATCTTTTGAAGATTTCCAAGCTCAATAAAAAGAACAACAAAGAGATTATGAAAGAAAATTTGCTTTGTAATTTCATTCCAGATTAATTATTTAACATTTGCTGATTGAAATTAAAAAAGATTAAATTCAAATAAAATATTAATTTCAATATGAATGCATCCCATTACGTTTTAACGTGGTGAAAATCATTGGTGCTTGAAATTCAGTGAAATTCCCACAGGTAAATGTGAAATCCAAATTTCGACTCGGGATATATCGTTTTACAAACGACTAAGAGAAAAAAACCGGTAAAAAAGATTTTCATATAATATATATTCGATTTTGATGTTGTGTACGTTTTCTGGTAAAAAATTCCCTCTGCTTTTTTAACCTCGTTTCTCGCGAACCAACTGAACCCTTCGGTTACCGTATTCTCGCTCGAGAGAACCGAATTTTCCAACCGAGTTAGAGTGCATTGCACTATTGTAACTGTAGTGATTTAGTATTGTCTAGTCGACAGAAGTATCGAGAATTATTATACGCAATGGATGCTGATTGTACATTAATAAAAATAGAGAAAACTCGTGTACGCACTGACCTTCTTTCTGATTCTGCGACTTCAGAAACGACGCTCGCGATTCTCTTTTGAAGGGAATGCTGGAAGTGAAACGGAACTATTGTAACCTCCCGAAGATCTTCCGCTTCTTTCGACGCTCCTTCCTTCCTCCGCTTCTTTCTTTGCAAAAAGAATTTTCTCGTTAAACTCGACTCAAATAAAAAGCAGGTTATCGAATTTATCGTAATCTGCGCAATTTCGATCAAACGATAGAATAATAGGTATCGTTACATCTTTACGATCGGTACGATCTGTACGATCGGTACGCGGATAAATAAAACGTAGCAATCGATACCAAGTCCTTCTCCTTTCAAGGATATAGAATTCACCAGAGACATAGCAGTTTCGACCCTCGATATGATGAATGAAACGGATTAAAACGCTCCTGCTGGCTAAGTGGTGATCAAACGTCCAACGCGAAAAACATTCAACCGACACGTATGGTGACATTTATTTTTACCGGATAGGTCGTCGTCACTTCCGTATTAAGGCCTGTCCAGAGACAACTACGTAATCACTTAGCGCATGCACGCAGAAAATGGGCCAATCGAATGTCCGATACAAGCGACGTGATATTAGCGCATGGATCATAATCGATTGATTCCTGTGCACACGCATTACACGACTACGCAAGTTTACGTTCAGACCTGGTTTTTTTTGGAATTCGTGTACTTCGGTACCTTGAATGAAGGACAATAGAGATAAGTCTGAGTTCAAGTAAAATAATAAGGAGAAAAACTGCACGTATGATGCGTATAACATAACCTATATACCATGCACTTGATGGCATAACCTGCAAATACACTATGTCAGTTGAATCGAGCAGGAATATTTAGATACTTTATGCTTATTTCGGCGTGATTTCGATACGAATATGGCAAAAGTTTTGCGGAAACGTGCCAAAGCGAAGAGAAGTACGAGAGAGGAATTAGACTTGCTTGACAAATCGGTATGTAAACAAATCGGTGTTTGTAAATATAAATATAAGATTTTCATGTTGCTAATCTTGCATTTGCACGAGGATATCTTCGGTTTACAGGTGTTAATAGATAGAATAATTCAATTAGAAGCTCATAATGAGCAACTCAAAATATTGATTGCAAAGACTGCGGATACAAAGGTGGAAGAGAAAGATATGTCTGAGAGAGTTCAAAAACCATTTGATTTCTCTCGGTAAGTGTGTTTTTTAACATGCTTTTTGAACAGCTTTCTTCTTACTCGAGTAATTATTTCATAACATTAATTGCAGGTGTCACAAGAGGCATATTCTTTTGAAGTTGTATTATCTCGGTTGGGATTATCATGGTTTTACTATACAGGAAGATAGCAATGATACTATTGAACAACACTTATTTGCAGCTCTTCTAAAGAGCTGCTGCATAGAGTCTCGTGAGACTTCAAATTACTCTCGATGTGGACGAACTGATAAAGGTGTCAGTTCATTCTCTCAAGTTATTTCATTGGATATACGTAGTAAGTTGGAACCGGAGCAACAAAGTAGCTTATCCAGTGAGTTGCCTTATTGTAAAATATTGAACCGATTGCTACCAGCAAATATAAGATGTGTAGCATGGTACCCAGTATCACTCAATTTCTCTGCGAGATTTGACTGCAAGTATAGAAAATACAAATATTTCTTCCCAAGAGGCAATCTGGATATAGATGCCATGAATAAAGCAGTCAAGTATGCCATAGGAGACTATGATTTTCGTAATATTTGTAAAATGGATGTAGCAAATGGTGTAACCAATTTTAAAAGAAACATAATTGATGCGAAAGTCTCTGTGAGTAATCAAGCAACAGAGAAGTTCACAGGTACTCTTTAATTTCTTTAGTTATTTGCTATTTTTGTTACCAATGACCCACACATTCAGTCTTATTTCTATCTTAGGCTATGATATGTGTCAACTAGAAATCATCAGCCAAGCTTTCCTCTGGCATCAGATTCGTTGTTTAATGGGTATCCTGTTGCTAGTTGGGCAAAGAAAGGAGGAACCTGAAATAATTTTAAAACTTCTGGACATTGAGAATTGTCCACAGAAGCCTCAATATAATATGGCTCATGAAATACCACTGAATCTATGGTACTGTAATTATAAAGATGTAGAATGGATCATTGATGAAAACGAGTTAGTAAACACTATCAAGACATTACAGCAAGATTGGGCTCTCAATACCATAAAGTATGTTTATAAGTTAAAAGGAACGAATAGTACGTGTATATAATTAAGTTTGCGATTAAATTATTTTTTTAATTATATGTAGATCTACAATGATTAAAAGTATGTTGTTGGAATTGGAAAATCTGGTCAATCGTACAAATACTAATTTCCAAAGCGATTGCCTGCTTCTCGGAGCACAATCAAAAGTATATCAACCATTGATGAAACGAGTTACGTGTGGTTAGTATAATTTTATTAAAATTTAATCTTTTCTCCCCCCCTCCCCCCTACAAACACTGATGCTTTTGAGAATTTAGTCTGTCATTCAAAAAATTTTATTTTATCACTTATGACCACAATGTAATTTATATTTATTTACTTTGAGACATCATGCATACAATTACACCGTTCAGAATCTGTTAATACTGTTGTATTCCACTATAAGATACAGACATTCAAAATATTTTGAATTAGATACATACAACGTTATTTCCTTTTGTTTTACATTACTATACTAAACACATTACCGCCGCACATGGACGTTTCTATGCTCGACACGTTATTACTTTCGTAAATATACATCTTATAAACAGCATGAGTTACTAGATGAAGTAGTTTGTTTAGCACAAACTTGATGGTCTTGTTACATCTACTTACGTATTAATCTACGCTATTTCCTCTTTTACAGAGAGTTTAGAAAATAAAATCAAACATTATAAGAAAAAACGAAAATTTGAGGTCGTGCATTCTGATGTTGTATAGTGTGCAGCTACGCTAGTGCAGGATTTGTAATGTATTACACATATACTAACACTTTTAAATACACAAGTTTCTTACTGTAAGTAAATATCGTATATGGCGTCTCTTAGTATCTTACTACTTGTAGGAGCGCTTCGTTCAGCCTTATTGTTCGTCGAATTTTGATCCAATGATCAAGAATCCTCAGCCCTGTAAATTTCTTTTTCCTCCAAAAGGGTAAATTTCACGATAACACATCGCTATGTGTATGAACCGGCGCTATAAAATAATGTCAATAGGCCTGTTAACAACGTACGCGAAACGGTGTGAGCGAAGCTTCTATCGCGACCCATGTAAAGATAGATAGACAAATGTCACGTTTCATTAAATTCGACAGGTCTTGCTTTGTGCACAGCTTATTTGGGTCATTGAGCTAAATTAATAGCTAAGTCGCGGGGATATATAGTATCACTGTCACTTTATCTAATGCTAGAAAAATCTACCAGCATTTTATCCTAAACAATCAAGTTCCCGAGATATTTATTTACAGAGAATGAGACTAATAGAGCTATATGTACATAATTGAAATGCGGGATTTAATTGAGTTTGGGCGTTTAGACGTAATAGACATCTTTCCTGCAGCTCGATGTACTCCGGTCGGAACAGCGATGAACGGTAAAGATAGATGTCGGCGCAAAGTTACGATTACTATGGACGATTTATAAAATAACGTTGCTAATTAAGATTTTTCGTTTATTTCTTTTCGCTTCTATCACAGGACGGCATGCATTTGTAACGAGTGTCAAAATTGTTTTCTTCTTCGGAGGAATTTTCCTCGTTATTTTTATCCTCACCATCTTCATGCTCATCTTCTTCATCTTCCTCGTCTTGCTCTAAGAGTTGTTTTCTCGCTAATTGTACAGCATGCCACTCTCGATAGTGACCTTTCCTCTTCGCCTCAAAGGCTCTCCTTTTTTCTAAAACAAAATTCATTGATGACAAACAATTTGTTTATCTTATAGAGATGGCTTATCTTACCTCTTTGTTCAGGAGTCTCCTCTTCTTCCTCTTCTTCATCTTCCTGGGTTTCTTCAAAAATTTTTGGCTTGCTACCCCCAGCTAATCTAAGTTTTAATAATTAATAGAGTTCTAGATGATTGTTATTACATATTGAGTTGTGTAATTGTACATTAATGATAGAAATTTATATGAAATATAATCATTATATATATTCACTTACTTTGCTGTGAGAGCACCAGCATCTAACTGATCAAATTCATGTTCATTTTGAAGGCCCTCAAAATTATACGGGGTTTTTGGTTCTTCGATTTTCATATGCCCGTAATCCTTGTCAGGAGGATGAAGAGTGGCGATAATATTCATTTCGTCCCATTTTGTCTCTTTGCTTGGTCTACAGATTCGTTAATGATAGCAAATTTAAAGAAAAAAAATAGTGCTCGTACTATATTATGCTTAAGAGTAGAATATGTTAAGGTCTGGTTGCAACCTAGCGGTAAGCTAACTGATAGTTCGAACACATGTCTGTCTTTGTTCTATTTGAATCTATTTTAGAAAAAAAAAGAAAGACACATGACTTAGTTGTTAGCTAGTTTACCATTCAGTTGGTACAATCGAATCTAAGATCTAGTTCCATTCATTTTAACTGAAATTTAATTCGTTAAAAGATTGTCCAGATAAACTTGCATAATCACATGTTGCATAAGAAAATAAGAAAATCAAGCAATCCTGATCTGTGCAATAAAAGGATGCATCTGTAGATACATTTTATATTAGATCAATCAATTTCCTTATACAGATGAGTAACGCAACCATGTAAGTTTGTCTGGATAGGCCTTGAACAAATTAAACTCTGATTAGAGTAAGTTGTGAGACTAGGCCTAATGCCTGTTTCTATCAACATTGATTAATAAACCTGTATTCGAGTTTGAACTTTATTTAAAGATTTAAATTCAGGTTATGATTTAATTGACATCAGTAGAAACATGCATCAGTCATGCCGACTAATATTGATTTGTTCTTTACGAGTATTTTTGTGCGTATGTTTCGCAATTTTCCACTTTTCTTGAGTGGTAGTACACAAAAAACATTTTCGAGAAGAGATCCCCTGAACTGTGCACATAAATTCGCAACATGACGTGCAACAATAAGAGTTTATCGAGCGAGCATGCATGTCGAAAATTGATTTCAGCGATAGCTTTCCCATCTTGCGAGATTTTCGCCAAAAGACGCGTGTATTCCTAGCTATTTCGTGATGTTCTTGCATAGGCGATATAATTGCGAGCATGTGACCCGTACGAGACGATCTCAATCACGATATCCGCCGGGAACGATGAGAGTATGATGCTCGCATCTCTATTTTTACACGTCGAAATTCAATTAGCACTCTATCTCCTTCTCTCTTTCTTTCTTTCTTACCTAGGCGCCTCTGGATTATCAAAACTGCTGGACGTCTTTAGGATTCCTTTAGAAGGCCGTTTTGACAGGTGCTCTGCCATTTTTTTTTTATAATCGCGCGTATTACAACAACGGTCACTCACTATGATAATGCCGCGGCTGCATGTTTACTATCGAATTTCGCACCGGCCAAGTAACCTGTTCAGCCGAGTGTCAGTCACTCTGAGAGCATCTTCACACGCTCCTCAACGCCGGAAGTAGGGATACGACCAATGAGTCGATGTTCGATTCCTTTTTGTTCAAGAGTCGACTAGCTTCTCGATATCCTCAAATTTAATTAAATCTTATTATCGTGCTGATAGTCACACTTCTCTTTTGGAGTAATGGCGTTGGGACAAAATTCTTAGAGAAGCCTGGAGCCAAAGATTGAAGTTGATAGTCATACTAGGAAAGATATTTTTTCATTGGCAAATTGAGACTCTCTCTTTCAAGTACTTCTGAATCGTGTTTTTGGTCACTTTGCAAAAACAAAATTCATCCATTCCATCGTTGTATCCATTACTTGAAGATAGAAATCTCTCTGATTTATTGTGTAGTCATTTTATTAGAAGATAAAATGCTCCTCTTACTCGCTGCAAGGTCATTATTTCGAAATAAAACCGATGAGGTTGACTCGTCGTTGAGTCGTACTACTTGAGAATAGAATATATTGGTGTTGCAGCTTTTCTGCAACACCAATAGATGGCGCCAGGCGGACCGTTTACCGCGCTTCGGCGATTTCGGTTAGAATGAACGCGCGCTATTTTCGTCGAATAAGTCTCGCGGTGAACGTATAACCGTCTCGCTCCGGCAAAAATATCTTAATTCGATTAGTCTGTTGTATGAAGAACCGGAACCGATAGATTTCGGGTGAGTCCAATTCCCTTGAGACGCGAAAAATTTTGTCTCGATTGCTCCTACTCGATTTTATCTGTGAACAAATGTAAAGAACGTTTAACGAGATCATTTCTGTTCTTGTTACAGAGTGTCGAAGAAAGATGGGAGATATTCGAAATACGGCAGTCCTGTTTCACTTCCAGCGTTTCCGTCTGAAGAGAATTAGAATCGTCGTTCAATCGTCATTGCAGAAATTTGAATCTACAACAAGGTTAGTTCCTATATTTATTCTCTCTGCACGGATTTTCTCGACTTTTATTACGATACAATGCGGCATGCATTGCATATAATTATCGCATTCTTCACACGTAAGAGCGAAAATGCCGACTTGATTGAAAAGTCTTCTTTCTCACTTTTGCACAACTTCCACATGAATAATCCACCAAACCCGCACATAAACATCTGATAATCGACAACTCACTCTTCTAATTCTAAATCCTTCGTTTTAAAGAATATACTGAACGAGATCACATTTTACCGTTATTGCCGTACAACGAAACAACTATAAAGCTATATAACTGTGTTAGCAAAGCAACCAACTTTTACATGTGACTACAGCATTATTAATTATTAAATAATTATTAATAGTAATTACTAGTAATATTAATAATTTTTTACTTATACGAATAATACACAATATATAATAATAATTTTTTACTTTTACTGGTATTACTGGCAATTATTAGCAATAATTAATAATTGGCATAACTAATTATTACTAATTGTTATAATAATGAGCAAGGATTATTTCTTAAAAGCTTCTAGCTCCTAATTGGAGATGTAATTTTCAATAATATCTTAAAGTAATAAAAATGAAATAACAAGACACGATTTGTATTTTTTTTGTTTATTAAGTATTATACGCGCGGTATTTGATATCACTAATTATATTATATTAACTATTATCAATTATCAGTTAAAGTTTAAGTACTTTGACGCTTCTAGATCGATCTTCTCAAACATATCTTATCATATTTGTATCATAACTGCAAGTTGGGACAAGTGACAACGGGATCACCAGATGGAAGAACATTCGATATTCTTATATGTACTCTTATGTGATATTACTTATATACTATTATATGTGATATTACTAGGGTTGGAAAGTAACGCGTTGCTTGTAACGACGTTACTATTTCGTTACTTTTTTTTGGTAACGATTTGGTAACGCCGTTACTTTTTGTATCAGTAATGAAAAAGTAACGGCGTTACATTTTCTTTAGTAACGAGTAATGAAATTCATCGTTACTTATATCTTACTTTTACTATGATTATACTTTTATACTTATTTTATATAATATTATATTATTATATTATATTATATTATATTATACTAGATTTGAGACTTTCACGGCCATTGATACATTCCGGAAGCTATACCTACACAATATTATATTATACTTTTTTACTATGATGGTTTCTGTACACAGAACGCTTGCCAAGCGATGAAAGTTTGCACACGATAAACAATTAATGTGGTGCTTTCCGTAAAGCCCATTCTACAATAAACAATAAATCTTAAGTCATAATAAAATTGACCAATCATAGTCGACTATTAGAAGAATAATCCACTGTAATTGGTCAATTTTATTGCGACTTAAAATTTATTGTAGAAAGCCTCTAAAGCGTAGTCTACAATGAGAACTTAAGCCATAAACTTTAAGCTTTAATCTCTAAGCCGTAAGAAATTATTTTTCTTATAATTCACTGTAATTGGTCAACTTCTTACGGCTTAGGATTTAAAGCTTAAATTTTATGGCTTAAGTTCTCATTGTAGACCACACTTAAGGGGTGTCGCACACGAATTGACATAACAGTAACGTAAGACATACCGTAAGACATACCGTAAGAACTGATCAATCACTTTGAGTATCGTCGAACCGTAAGGTCGCCATTTTTGAGAATACTTGATTGTAATTGGTCCATTTTTACGGTACGTCTTACGTTATTAAAATGACATGTCAATTCGTGTGCGGCGCCCCTAAAGCCCATTCTACATTAGTCGCAAGATCGCAAGATCGCAAAATCGCAACAAAATTGTACCAATCATAATTGATTATTCTTCGGTTACAATTGAAGAAAAACAATCGACTAGTCAATTTCTTTGCGACCTTGCGATTTGCGACTAATGTAGAATGGGCTTTATGCAATAATGTGTGTTTCCCGCTTAAATATCTTATATTTTATCTTTATATATGTATAACTTATGTACTGTCTCTTCTACTAGATTTGAGGCTTTCACGGCCATTGATACAATGTCTAGATATAGCTTCCGGAATGGAGCCGTGTCTTGAATATGCCTATCGATAGATATGCATATCGCTGATTCAAGACACGGCTCCATTCCGGAAGCTATATCTAGACATTGTCTCTTCTACTATTTGTTTTATATGCCGATTTTAACTTTTTTTTTTACAAAAGTAAAGTAACGATTTTTTTATCGTTTTCAAATAACGGTAACGCGTTACTTTTTAGAATCAGTAACAAGTAACGGTAACGAGTTACTTTTTACCGCAAGTAACGGTAACGCGTTACTTTTAAAAAGTAACGTTCCCAACCCTGGATATTACTTACACTACTATTGCTACTATATACGATATTGCACGACTTGAATACATTTAGTAACCGACTAAAAGAAAAAACATCTAGTTAGTGACTAGATGACGTCGTTTCCTTAACTATGCATTAATTTTTATGAACCTTAACTGTGCATCTCTTACGCTTTGCTGCTCGCGCTACCCATACAACACAAATGTCCGAAATATATTCCAGAGACATTCTAGAGATATTACATCGTTTTTGTATTGTATGGGTAGCGCGACGCCTTCGTAAATCATGAAATATTAAGAAAGAGTCCATTGACATCTCTTCCGAATGTTTTTTCATGGGGACAGGCGAATTCTATAGAGTGGTAGAATCGGTAGAATTCCTCGTGTCATATTTTAAGCGGTCACCTCGCTGGTCGCGCATTTATCGTACATCGCGTCCAAGACCTGGGTGAACTTGAGGTGACGCTCTTCTGGAGCGACGGTGGCACCGCGGCTACCCCACAGGAACTTGATGTGAAACTCGGTGCGAAAAGCGTCGGACAGAAGCTCGTCGCTTCTGCAGCCCTCCAGGGCGATCTCCGCGTTCCTGCGAAAGAGCGGCAGGCTCTCGGCCAGTTTACGAGCGGCTTCAAGATGCGACCAGACGATTGACAGGCCGCAATCAGGCGCGGAGTTCTCCCACGGCGAAAGAATCGCTGCTGCAAGTCCCGAAGGCGCCACGGTACCTGTAGATAATTCAAAATATAATTAGAAGTATAATATTAGAAGCAATAATTAGAAAATAGCAATAATTTGAAGAAATGCGATGGAATGTCGCGATAAAAAATACACTGAGAGAAAATATCTAAGGAATAGATTTTTTAGAAGAATATTTTTTTAGAAAAATTGCTTTTCTTGCTCCTTAATTTAACGGTGTAACACTTTTGTAAACTTCTGTAGTGACGTAGTAACGTAGTGATAACCATATAATTGATATAAAATTGCAATATATAATAACCCAAAAATATATAGAATACATATACAAACTGCTGTCAGATTCTGTTTGCAAACTCTGTTAATAGAATACCAGCAGATTGATATGGATTTGTCGATAGATCATGCTCAATCTTATCAGCAATCTTATCAGACTATTAACAGATTGCTTATTGAGAAAATTGATTTAAATGCACGCAATTATTTTCTTTACGGAAAGAAGCAAATGTGGCAGATTCTAACTAAATACGTATAAAATTTTCTCAAACGAATTTTTTTACCCTTGAGAAAGAGATTGAAAAAATTTGCAGAAAATTGAAGACTAATTTTTTTTCGTATTTTCAAAATTATATTAATAACATATTTACTTGTACCAACATACATACTTTTCCATTGAGAGAATACTTTTTCAAATAAAAAATTTACATTTCTCTAAAATTGTTTCTTTACATTTACATTTAAATTTACATTTCTCTCTAGAAAAGAAATTATTTGTTCTATGTAAATAAAAGAATTTAGAGTTAAATTCGAATTATATATTCAGAAAAAAAGTACTTCAACATTTATTTGTGAGACATAAAGTTTATTCACAGAAATAAACTTTATATTTCAGAAATAAATTTGTCAGTATTCTTCTCTGTGTATAACAAAAAAATCTAGAGTTTTGTGAATATTTTATTAGCATCCATCCGAATAAATATTATATAAATATTTATATAAATATTTTATATTCTTAAGATATTTTCTCTCTCAGTGTATATACGATGCGAAATAAGAACAATGAAAGTGGGACGCGTATGATTTGTAATAAATTCGCAAGCAAACGAGGACATAGATGGGTCAATTCTTTCGATTCGTTATTTTTCTTTCTAATTCTCGTTACTTTTGGCGATTAACACATGCCTAAAACATCTTCGGGTCCCCGTTCTCCGAGTAAGGCGATCGGTAGGAGATGCGGAAGCGTAGTATTGGGTGCCTGAGGGTTGGTACATTCGTTCATAGCTCGCAGGGTAGGTCTGAGCTTCGCCTCGAAGCTGAATGCCTCGTCCGTGTGTTTCTGACGTAGCAGGTGCCACGTATTGGCGAGCCTTTGAATTTGCGGCAGGCACAGACCGAGCATCACGCCGCAGAAACCGTAGAGATTTCCAAGAGCGGTTTTGGTGTCGATTGCTACCTTGATCCACTTGCTGATAGTAGCCGCTCTTTCTGCAACATTAACCATAACCACCTCTGTTTAAAAGAGTCGCGATAGAATTAGATGAAAATATTTCGCAGAGTTCTACATAAGTACTAGTTGTCTAGACGGCTATCGGTTAAGGGAAAGTTGCCGAATTTTCTAAGTCGTATCTCATCGATTCCTTTATTATTATTGAATATAAATAGCATTTAACGATAAAAATGAGAAATAGATAAGCAATGAGAAATATAAACAGAAAATTTTAGATTGTATCTTATTTTTCGTGCGTGTTACATATTTAAAAAAAAAATCAGTTACGATTTGGAAGACGATACGTTTTGCTCTTACATTTTTTGTTGTCTTTGACCTTGGCATGTAGTGGTTAATTTAACAATCACAATTGAATGTTAATGAAAGAGGAAAAGGGCAATTTCAAAGAACTCGTACCTATAGCCGTGGCGCCGGCTAACACGGTAACTGCTACCAACAGCTTTAGGCATTCCGATCTCTCGATTAGATCTATTCTGGCCTGCCTGCCGTGCGGCAAGGTCGCGAGCTCGATGCCGCTCAGTCCGCTCCTGTTCCCCGTTCCTGGCTGGAGCGCTACCTCGAGGTCGAGTCGCGTGAGATGGGAGGCGAGTATTCGCGGCGCCGAGTCCAGCAGCATTCCCGAGACTCCTCTGAGGGCGGTCGGGTCGAGAGGCCTGTGTTCGCCGGCAGGCAACAGCAACGTACTGAAGCCCTCGATGTCGAGCATCGTGGTGATCTCCAGCGACGGCGCGGCAACAACCAGCTGCTCCTCCGCGGACAGCTCATACTCGCTGCCGTTGTTGCCGTTGGTACCGTCGTTGCTGATGTTGTAATGGCTGCGTATAACCACGCCCTTGATCGGCACCGAGGAAGACGGGTTGCTGGCGCCGCCGGAGTTGTTAGTTTCAAACTCGCTATCGCCGGATCCATTGCCGCTGTCACTGCCGGAGGCTTGATAGCCTTGATGGTGGTGATGGTGGTGATGGTGATGGTAGTGATGGTGATGCTGGTGGTTTAGCGCGTAAGGTACTCTGGGCGGCTTGGGCGGCGCGGTGCTCAGGGTATTCTGGTGATTCAGACTCGACTGTTGCTGCTGTTGCTGCTGCAACGCCGGGTCTGATATTACCCGGGTGATTTTCTGGCGACCGAGAGATAGGGAACAGGAAGGCGGTTGGCTTTGAATAGGCGGTACTCGCGGCAGAGTACTGGACTGGACGTGCAGTTGCGGTGTTGTTTGTTGATTGCTTTCTCGGGCGGCGTGCTGATCGATGGCGTGGTGTTGGGCGGTCAACGAGTGACTACGTTGCTGTTTCCTGGGCAGACGAGGCGGCGAGCCGGTAGACAGGGAGGACGATGAAGGACTAGAGCAATGCTGGTTACTCGTGGGCGCGGCGACGCACGTCAACGGAACTGTTCTGGGCTTCGGTGTGATGATACGTGCCCCGCTCGCCTGGCTAATCGGCCGGCCGCTACCGACGTAGAAAGTGATCAGGTCGGCGACTGTATCGAAGGCCTCGTCCTCGAACTGGTACTGCGCTCTCTCGTACACCGTGTCCGGTTGTATCACGACCTTTCGGCAGAGAAAACACGAATTTCAGAGACTGCCAGTATTCGCAGCAAAGTCAAATGTCGTTTTTGTATTCGCGTTTCTCGTAGCTGAGCACAGTAGACGAATGTTCTATCGTGTCATCGAGCAAACAGGTTCTCTTCGATATAAATGGATTTACTGGCGCCGTTCGAATTACGTCAGCACCCATGAAAGGTCATAATTATAACGCGAAAGAATCTTAGCCGATGAACGATTGCTTTTATTTTCGACAGGCTTTCGATTAATTCCGCAATCACCGAGTAGACTTTTACACACTTGATAGATCGCGTTCTATTTTTCCTGAGATAAAGTCATGCACGAAACAACGGTCTAGTTGGATTAACCAGATTTCCGGTGAAATATGGACGAACCCGAAAATTCCGGTTGAAGTTTATTCCGAAATTCTGTTCCAGTTAACTGGAAATTTCGTTAACTCGAGCAGAATTTTGATAACTCTAACCGTGATTTCTGACTCGTTATGATAAAAAAAGGTAGCCTCAAATTTTTTCAATAAAGTCATAAAATTTTCTAATAGAAACTGATTTGTCTTATCACATCCTCTGTTAAATAAATAAATAAATAAACATATATATATATATATATATATATATATATATATATATATAGATATATGTGTAATTTATATAATAAGGCTCCGGATGTGAAAAACCATTTTAAAAGCCTATTGCGTCGAAACTTTTAGGGTGGTGCATAAGCTCTCGAAGATGCCTTGTAGACACGGAGATTTATTGATTTCCTCGGGTCGGAGACTGTGTCCAGGAAGAGGACGAGCGGAGAGGGAGGGAAAGGGTTGACGCCCAGCACGAATGCATGCGTCGCTGGAAAACGTAACGTCGGATAAGCACTGCTTCGATAAGCAGTGTCATCAAGATGCATTGGGCTTATTATTCTTTGCTGAATAAATAAGTAAATAAACATAGAGAATGACGAGATATATATAAATCAGTTTCTATCTTGTTATTTTATTGAAAAAGTTTGAGACCACTTTTTTATTGTGACCATAAAAATTCGCACTTGCAATTAATTCTCCGTGCAATTCGGTTCTATGTCACAGGTACATCTCGATAATGCCGCTTAAACGTTTTCCGGCGACGCAAGCGCGCGTGTTGCAAGGGCGTCGACCTTTTCCCTCTCTCTCCGCCCGTCCTTCCCCTAGACACAGCCCCTTGCTCGAAAAGATCAATAACCCCCGCGTCTACGAGGCGCCCTTGAGAGTTTCCGTACTACCCTGGAAGTTTTGCTTGCGGCGCGTTAGGTTTTTATAAAGTTTGGTCCTTCACCTGGAGTCTTATTAAATTACATATATCTATATACGTTTATTTATTTATTTGTTTAACAGAAAATGACGAGATAAATCAATTTCTATTAGAAAATCTTGATTTTATTGAAAAAATTTGAGGCGATTTTTTTTTATCGTGACTTTGGAAGAGACTCTTAAAATGAAACAGAGGTCATGATGTATTTCTTGAAACTAAGCAATTTTTGTTTGGAATATTTTTTTCGAAAAAGTTTGCGAGATACTTTTTTATATCATTCAAACACTTTGTGCTCTAAACAATATTGAGCTATTTTTTAGCATGAATTTGCATCTTTTTTCTTGAATCAGACTCTAAAAGGTGAAAGAAATTGGCGTGTATACTTGAAAAAGGTTACTAGTTAGAGTTAGATTACTAGTTGCTGAAACGTATTATTTAGCAATTAGTAGAGAAAGTACAGCTTGTGGCCGTCGTTTCTGTATGGTCACCATAGCCGAGTTTACTCTAATGGGACGGTCTTGATTAATCGTCGCGCATCTTACCCGATTGATGACGAAGTGTAGCGGTTGGCCTTTCCATCGTACGGTCAGAACGTAGTTGCCGGGCTGTGAGGCGCAATCGCGCACCAAGAAGTCCCCGTCGTTCGGCACTTCCGCCTCCGCGCCTTTGCGGCCGCCGCGCAGCGTGCTGCCGTGGTACCACGCATGCGATCGCAGATCTCGTGGATCAAGAAGCCGCAGCTCTCTCTCGAGGAGTTTACGAGTGGACTCCTCGGGCGGCTCCTGCGACTAGATGAAATTCCGATGAAATATTCGTTTGAATCATCATCGCGCGCTCTCGTCGATATGCTCGCGTGTGAACGATGAGTCATCGCTGTGTCGTGAACCCGGCGAATATGTCGCGCGCCATCGATATACGTCCTCGTATCGCCAATTAATTACTTGGAATAACAGCGATGAGATATCGCGCGCGAAGCGTTTCATATGAAACAATTGTGGCAATCAATGCAGACGAGAAAGAGAAAGAGAAAGAGGTAGTCTGCGGTCCAGCGGAGATTGGCTTAACAAGAGCAGCCTTGAGCTCTCGTCACAAAGTCGTATGAAGCGCCTGCGACTCGTCATTGAGCCGTGCCGCGCGTCGAGTAGCTCGACTATCGCACAACTCATCATCGTTCGCGCTCGAGTGTATCGCACTCTTTAATCATTCCTCTCGTAACGCGTGACAAAAAGTCGTTCATTGCCAATTTCAACGGGTTGAATCTACGATCAAGCGTTTACACGAGCGTTCACACGACCGCGAGACTTGGTGGGATGTACAGAGTGTCTCCAGCGAATTTTTCACAGATACATTCTTCATCGACAATTTGGGGGTATCGCGTCGATTAAAGCCGATGATTACGAATAACGAGTGCGCGAGTTCTCGCACAGAGATTTCGTCAATCGATCTGACATCATCTCTCGAACATGTCATCCGACCGAGAATCAAATTTGACAAAGTGCTCACCATTGGCGGGGGCTGGTTATTATTGCTCTCCCGTGCCTCCGTCGAGGGCGGCTCCTGCTCTGTCCGAATACATGCGTGGCGATTCTCCCTCGCGCCGCCGTCTTCCACCGGTGTCCTGCGATCGGAACGGAACCCTTTCAACCCTTCACATCTTGCGGCTAGTCGGGGGGCGATTTCTGGCGATAGTTCTTCTCCATTTTTATGGATTTCGATTCCTTCGTGCGGAAGAGGAGACTTGGTTGCGGAAGGAGAGAAACTGCGTTCGGGAGGAGAAACTGCACTCGGGACGGTCGGGTAGGGTTTGAGTCGGAGAGCCGTGCTCTCGAGCCTGGCAGGCGCACACCCCCACTGATGAGCCCGGCCGAGGCGGGACCGTATTTTCAGAGGGTGTCGCGGGGTGCTGCGGGTGTTATTAATAGATCGCGGGGAATCGAGCAGAAAGGAGTGGGACACTGTTCGAGAGAGGAAACGAGACACAATGCGCTCGCATGCGCGAGAGAGCGAGACGCCAAGGGAACGCGTGCCAAAGGAAATATTTTCTTCCTCTCCCCCTTTGCTCCGACTTCCTTTATCCGTCCGTACATGCTGCTGATAATTACCGGGCGCGAGTTAAAATCGATGGAGCTGATCTTGCACCGCGAGGGAACACACGGTTGTTCATAACGGATGATTGGAAAATAACGACTCGTTGCTCGTTGCCACGAGTAAGCCGACGTCTAAGTATGCTTGGCAGTTAAATCCTTACTCAGTCCGCAGAATCGACGAAGCGTGAATTCATCGTCGCGATGAGATAGTTCCGATCCGTTCTCATACACTTCCGATTGGGCCAATTTGACGAAAGTAACAGCAATTTCCGAATCATCGGTACGTCACTGCAACGTTATCGCCCTCGTCGTTTTCACTCACACTGACCTTTCTATTGGCTGCGTTGAGTGGCTTTGACATCGACCAAGATGCTTGCACGCGTCTATCATAGACTTTTTTCTCACGTAGTATCGCGAGTTTCGAAGGACGCGACGTCAGATCGGCTGAAAAGTGCATCGCTCCCTCTTGTTGCTCTTGAGGATGCCTCATAGATGCGGAATTATTGATCTCTTCGGGCTGGGTAAGGACGAGCGAAGAGGGAGGGAAAGGGCCGCGCTTGCGTCGCCGAAAAACGTTCGATAAACGGCGTTACCAAGGTACCCCGGCGATATCGAGCCGACTTGCACGGAAAATTAATTGCAAGTGCGAATTTTTTTTCGACTTTTCTATTTTCAACTTCTTCGTTATCATTTTTTTTATTGTGCACTGAGAGAGAAATAGTAGAAATTGAATCTCGTCGTCCAATGACGAAATAGTAAATTTGTGTCTTATATCACTACTAGCGAGTAATGTAACACTTACTTCTCCTAGCGAAAAACGAGGTGAAAAATCATAAGCAGTTGCTAAGCAGTAATGTAACGCTTAACTCTGCTTTTTTAAGATTTTTATGAAATTAACATGTCTTCAATTTTGATTTGTTATGAAAAATGAAACGCTAATGGCGATATAGTAGTTAGATTATACAGGATGTCCCAGACTCTGCTTCGCATTTTTGTGAGAACGTAGATTGGGAGGAACTAAAAGTCCTATATGTTTGCCATATTCGCAATAATAGTTGAGACAGGATTCTTGACGATTATTGCGAATATCCCAAAACAGTTTTACGTTCCCACAGATTGCGGAAGAAAATCTGGGATATCGTGTGTATTTCATAATAGACAGAGCGCTATTTGCTTCATTATTTTTAATAGGTAATGGCCAAATAACTAGATCGCTGCCGACGCAAGCGCGTGTGCTGGGCGTCGACCCTTTCCCTCCCTCTCCGCCCGTCCTTTCCTGAATACAACCCTTTGGCCGAAAAGATCAATAATCCCCATATCTACGAAGCAACAATATTTCAGTGAACAATCAGCCACTAACAAGCTAATAAATTTTAACTAGCCTATGCTAGCTAGATATTAGCCTTTGGCTTGGTTGGTTACCCAAACAGCACAAGATCTTCAAGAGATATTCTGAGGACTTATGTGGACATTTAGAAATCCTCAGGATGTCTTTGAAAAATTATGTTGTCTGGATTACATCTTCACTCGAGTACTTGAAAATTTATTCATGCACGGAAAAAAATGTTTGGTTGAATTAACCAAATATCTGGTCGAATATGAACGATCCAGAAATTCCGGTTGAAGTAACTCAAATTCTGTTTAAGTCAACCAAAAATCTTGTTAACTTAAACAGAATTTGGGTTACTTCAATCGGAATTTCTGGATCGTTCATATTCGACCAGATATTTGGTTAATTCAACCAAACCTTTTTTTTCCGTGTGGAATATGAAGTTTATTCATAGAAATAGACTTTGTTTTGCAGAAATAAACTTTATTTCTCGGAAGTAAATTTTATATCCCACTAGCATGAATTTTCAAGTACTTTTTCTCAGTTAGATCTTCATCTTAGATGAGTCAGAATCGTGTAAACGATCAGTTCATTAACGACATGTGTGGCATACATGTCTCCGTACTCAATTACGCTTGGCGATGTCTAAAGTCGAGATTCATGTTGACTCTACAGTAACAATCCGGCGTGATTAAAAGGGAACCGCCAAAGTAACGATAGAGAGGTTAGACGTCGGGTTGAAAGTCCGTCGCGAAGATATTATTGAACAAAGAGACGCCGCGAAATCATTCGTCTCCTAACGGATCGTAATTGTTACCGTCGTTGTTAATGGATCTCGCGATGGATCGCCATCGCTGTTGATGACTGTTGCACATTCATATCGGAACGTATCTCGAGAGAACCCAAAGGACACGCGTCTTCACGCTTGCATTACGCACAATGTCGTTTAAAGATTTCGCATTAGAACGACCAGCGTATTTTCCTATTGCGATTACGTCGTGTTTAATCGAGAGACATTGAGAAAAACCCCTCGACTAGCAGAGTAAGAACGCGAAATTACATTGTGTTATGAGGTGAAAAAGCATAAGTAGTTGCTAACTAGTAATGTAACGTTCAATTCTGCTTTTCTGAGATTCTTATAAAATTAAAATATGTCTTCTCATTTTGATTTGTTACCTAATAAAAAATGAAATGCTAGTGGCGATATAGAGTAGTTAGATTATATACTTTATAATAGACAGATATATTTTATGATAGACATCTGTTCTATCATATTTGGTACTCTCTTAAAGTAAATCAGTGAATAGTCAGATAGATATATCTGACTGATAGTCAGATATCAGTTGTAAGTATAGCACTGAGCATTTTCAATACTTATAACTGCAAATCAGTGTATAATCACTGTTTTCAGTGATGTTTCACTGATTCATTTTAAGATAGTAGATAATAGCTAAACAACTAGATCACTGTCGTTTTTCAGCAACGCGCGTGCTGGACATGCTCGACCCTTTCCCTCCCTCTCCGCCCGTCCTTCCCCTGGACACAGCTCTTTACTCGAAGAAATCAATAACTTCCTGTTTGATCATTGTCAGGGAAACAGTTATCGTTGCTAATTACTCCTCACACGGAGAAAATACTATTACTTGCCTAAATATGATTGTCATAACAAAGTAATAACGTTATTTTTCGCCCATGCATACAAGATGGTTGCAGTACCTATAGTACTCTGCACTGAAAAAAAAGTTTGGTAATATTTATCAAATGCGTTTTACTATACTATTTGGTAAATAGTAATCAATATAGTAAATATTACCAAATGTGGTAATATTTACAAAATAGTAACATTAACTTTCATATAGTAATATTCTCCTCTTATATTTAGTTGATACTGTTTCATTAAATGTAGTAACTATAACACAGGCTAGATAATTATTACCAGAAATTTTTCTCAGTGTGGGAGTGGCACTTTAACCTTCTTTACTGTTTATCCATATATGTTTGAGGATATCCGACTAAATCAGATACTTCCGATCATAATGGCATTTCATCAGATAAACCGGTCAAAAAATTATAAACCGATATTTCTCATACATGTTTTCTGATCGAATACAAAAATTCATCGGTATTTTGACCAGAAATATCCGTTTATTAATTTCTTATCGGATAATTTCTCTCAGTGTATTATATCTGCGCAACGTTAAGGACAATTAACGAGTTACAGAATCGCAGTGCTGGGACTTCCCTGCCATTTACTGACTGCTCTATCGATTCGGCATGCGTCATTGCGCAGCTATTTTATAATATGATTATATCTGCGCAACGACACTAACTGAACTGACAGTTCAGCCGATGAATGTGTACGGAAGCCACCTTGCCTGCGGATGTTACGTAGGTATAATCATTACATGGTAAAGAAGTTGCGCAACGACACGCTATGCTTGCTATGTCGTTTTTATAAAGTTGAGGTTTTTATAACGTTTCGGAAATTGTCTTACTGATCCGTTTACGCGGTTATAGTAACTTTGAAAGTCGCAGGGTCGCACATTGAGAGAAATTATTCGATAAAAAATTAACAAACAGATATTCGCGAAATATCGAATTTTTGTATTCAATCAGGAAACATCCGATGAGAAATATCGATTGATAATTTTTTAATCGGTTTAGCTCGTGAAGTGCCATTATGGTCGGAAGTATTCGATTAAATTTATATTAATTTATATTCGATTAATTTTAGACAAAATCGTAAAACTTGTAACTTGGTCTCGTAAGACTTGTAAGAACTTATGAGCAGATCTACAACTCTACGCGGACCGTATGTCATACGATAACTCGTAAATATATATCTACGATTTCTCGTAAATCTTACGACTAACTAGAAGCTGTCAATAAAGTTACGCTTTGTGAATTTTATCAATATTACAATTTATTCATAAGCTACGACTTTACGATTTTACGATTTACTCGTATATTTGCTTAAAATTGTAGCATTAATCGGATATCCTGATCGAATATAAAAATTCATCGGTATTTTGATCGAAAATATCTGTGTGTTAATTTTTTATCGAATAATTTCTCTCAGGCAAAATGCACGAGACGCTAACGAGAGGTCACGATAAGCTGCTCGGTGACTGCTTGAAATTTTCCGCTTTTATTTCCTCGTTACGGAATTCTCTTTGTTCATCGGTCGGTCGATCGGTCGGTCGGTCGGTCGGTCGGTCGTTCATAGCGAAAGAGCCGGGCTCATCATTCTGAAGGCAAAGATCGAGGGAAACCGGTTCGAGAGAGCCGCCGGACCCATTATATTCTCATACCGGTATTTCGACGTACCCTCCGAAGGGGCTAATTCATAAGTTATAACTTTGGATCTTCAATTTCAGCGAGGTATATAACCGTGTCCCCGTTGCGGTATCTAATTCCCTATTCACGTTTTTACTCCTCGTCCCGTAGTCTTTTTGTGTTCGCGCTTGACATACCGTGTTCTTAATCTCTTGATCCTTTTACTCAACCGAGAAGATAGGAAAAGGATTCGTAAAGACCTAATAATCCAAAGGACGATCGGAGGAATATACATGTAAATAGGATAACATTGAAATAAATAAATCCTAAACGCAATTTTATGAATTAAGTTAAAAGTACTAATTCCCGGAATTCCCATGTACACATACACATGTCTAATCCCAGATATTCTTATTGTTTTGGTTTTTTTTAAATATTTAAACTTAAAATATTTGGTTAAATTAATTTTGAATATTTAAACTTCTAATAGAAAAAAAATATATATGTGTATGTATCTTTTATGTTAAATGTTTAAATATTCGTATTTAAAGATCAAAACAATGAGAATGTGCAGGATTAGGTACGTGTCCGGACACTGGTATTTTTATCTTAATCAACAAATCGCGTCGCTTCACACTAAGAGGAAACAAAAGTTGTCTCTAATCAAAATTATAGTTATTTTTGGCCATATTTTTGATTATTCTAACACGAAAATAGTAGTAGTGACATATTAGGTTATTAACATTATAGTAGAATTTAAAAAAAGAACGATTTTCTCCATAATTTATAATTTATGGTAATTATTTCTGTGTGATTATAGTTACAAATGCCAAATATTGTTTTCTCAGTGTACTTTCGTCATCACCCAACGGTGCTTTCATTGCTTGCGGTTTTACCACATTTGTCATCGTTATTTTCATCCAACTCGCGTGTATCTTTCGCAGGATTTTCAGCACTGACGAACGAGCAAATCACGATCGGATCGTGAATGCGGCAAGTTAAACGCGTTTCATATTTTTGCGATCACCGGCGCACACGTGCGTCAAACTTGAGTGGGAACAAAGCGCGTCACACGATGATATCAACATATCATCGTTTTTCAGATAAGGAAAAATTGATGTAAAGTGCTCTATCGATATTTGAATATTTTACACATACCCCGGCCTGCTCCCGGCGAGATTATCAGGTGACGGTGGAGTGACGATCAAGCAGGGCTCCTTCTGAATAATCACTTCCGGCTGTAGGTGTATCGTGTGTCTCTTTTGCCGAAGGTCTTTACACGAGTCTGACGATACCAAGCCGCCGTCTCGTTTGCGCCGTCGGCTGCTGGTACCTAAGTTCTGCAGAGTACCCATAGATGGGAATCGAAAGCTCCATGCTATGCCTGAATGTGCCGTAAAGAAATTTGCATGGTAAAGTGATCGTTTCGTTGCCGAATTAAGCGTACAGGTACATACACATAACGCGAACGCGAGGAAACGGTGGGATTTAGAAACGCGGAATATATGTCAGTGCACTAGTAAGTGACTATTAGTGCAAAATACTCGAGTCGAAATATTAGCCCTACTTTCGACCTGAATTTTTCAACATCTATAACATCTATTTTTAAACATGTTTAACATAAATTGAATCTGAAGTCCTACTTAGCGCCTTTAAATGGCAGAAGAAATTCAAAATATTAATAGTACATTCCAAAGAGGACTTCCCGGTAAAGCTGGTGGGTTAAATAGAATAAAAAAAAGGTCGATGTAAAGGTTTCAGAGTGTCAAAGTAAAAGCATTGAATGGAACAAGTGAGGTAGAAAATAGGATTAAAATTTCGACCCGAATGGAGATACCTTAATCGAAATTGTAGCCCTACTTTCTAGATCTGAAGCATTTATATATTCTGAAAGGTCAATGCATGTTTAATGGAATTTAAAGTTCTACATAGCGCTTTTAAGTGGCAAAGAACACACAAAGTGCCACTTGTAGGTTTTAAAGAGGACCTCTTGGCAAAACCAATAGATTAAATAG